TATTCGGACTATTGTAGGCTGGTCACCGCTGCGGAGTAACACACACCTGCGTGAATCGCCAGAGACATAAGCTTAGAGAAGTAGATCCGGTTGGAATGTTCTTCCGCGGGATGTGTGCAGTTCTGTTTATTAACCGCTAGAGCGACAAAAGTTACATAGTGCTGCTTTAAGACTGGTTTTGTGCTCCAGGGTCACATATTGTAATAGAATACAATTAGTTGTAATTAGAAATATGACAGAAGAGTTTGCTACTACCACAGTTTCTATGGGAGAATACATACCAGAAGTTAAGGTAGCACTGAGATTTTAGCAGAAATATAGTCTGTTCATTCCTATGGGTAACTGTGGGATTGACAAGAAGTTGTCAAAAATTGTCCAAAAATTGAGTTTCTGCTGGATTTAATGCATATATCATATTGTTTACACATTACTATATTTCGTTGAGATGTCAAATGCCGTTTGGATGCTACTTTTTCACTAGACTGGCTGGATTATACCGCATCTCGAAACAAAGCTTGCATCTTTCCAGCTGTAACATTGTCTGTGATCCTTATGCAGATTATACAGATATAGATTTGCAGTCAAAGCACTATAAAATCACTTACAGTTTGTGATGTGACTGCTGTGCAAGAGTTTGCACTGCTTCATCTTTCAACAAAAGTTATTTGTGAATCCTGTATTACACTGTGACTCATTAAAAAAAACAACAACTCTGTATTTACTTATAATTGAGGCGTCAGTGCAGGTTAAACTCGTGGCATTAGCAGCCCTCGAGGTGACAGTGTTGCACTGCAGCAGGTCAGGGATGCGTTCTGCTCCAGTGCATTAAACACGTCTCCAATGATACAAATGTTACACCACACATGAAGATCCTGAAGATGTTCATTAGCTGGTTCAGTTGTGTTGGATGAGGGTTGGGGTCTTTAGGATCTTTACGAACAGTGCCGGTATAGGACTAATACTGCCTTCAAGAGCTATCAGAAACTTCCTACTTCTGAAAGAAGTGCTTTGTTGTCGGAAAGAACAGAAATCATGGTGGACAGCCAGCCTATTCATTCTTGCCTGTTTCTCGGGGATATCTTATTAAAGCCAAAAGGTATAGATCAGAAGATATTTAGTCAATATCCATCAAAATGTAGCGTCACATTCATTGGTAACCATATAAACATTCACAGTGCTATCTAGATATGTTGTGTCCTCATATCTTCCGTCTGTGCATAACTTACGTCATTTTGACATGTTCTCCAGTTTCATAATGAGGAAAGTAGCAAATGCATGCTTGAAAAGTCACTTAATGTCACTCCATCATGTGCCGACTACAAGCACAAATAAAGAGAACTACAAACACGTACACTATACTGACAAAAGTATCCTTCTAATGAACAGGTTTGACTACTTTAGTCATTTGCATGAGTACAAATCTGAATGTTGGAGCATATAATGATATTCCAGGGAATTGTGTGCTTCTCATTTCACAGCAGCAGTTTGGACAGGAGCCTTTTCTATTCTAACACAACAATGCCTCTGTGTATAAGGCAAGGTTCAGAAAGAAATGATTGATTGAGTCAGCGTGGAAGAACTGGACTGGACTTTAAATGCAGACCTTGAGCCAAAAACTCATCACCAAACACCTGTGACTTATGGATAGTCATTTTAGACACTTCCAAAACTGTTGCAACAGAGATGAAAATACAGCTTTTAAACACATGAATTATGTTTCCATCTTTGTTGCCACCGTTTTGGATGCATAGGGTGGGGTGGGGGTGTCCAATACTTTTGTCCATATAGTGTATGTGATGTACATGACACAGACGGTTATAAAGGGGTTATATTTCATCTGCAACAACTTTGTGAACGTTTATTAAGAGCAGGACAGATGCAAACTAATCATTAAGCAAAATCACAAGCAGGTTCTGCATGAAAGACTCACAACTGGCAGATCAAAGAATTGTTGAGTAGAATAAATGAAATGAACTTAAACTCTGACTGTTCAGTTAACTTAATTTGATGTATGGTGACGTGCAACCAAGCGGTTAAAGATGCATTTTTATGACATTGCAGTTTGCTCATATGTATGTACTTTTTCCTTCATAAAAAAAACCTGTAATATAAGAAGGTGAATTGAGATGCAACTGATGTTTTGTCAGTTTCAGGAGGAGTTTCTGAGGTCTGTAACTTACAGCGTGTCTTTAAAGGACAATGACCTCTTATACAGTATGTCAAAATATCAAAGACCGCTGCAATCCTCATGACCCCTTTAACCTGATTATATGAGGTTCTCAGAGACAAACTCTTGGAATCATTGTCAGATATGGCTTGGTCGTCATTCTGGTGATGAAGTATCTCGAGTAGATCTCGAGTTCATGTTGATAACAGTTATTCTCGTCCGCAGCTCATTTCATCATCATGTCAAACACCTCGGCTCCGAGTCTGAACTCCAGCGTCTCTGGGTGGCGTCGTCCGCTGTGGTACCAGTATGAAGTGTGTGCGGAAGCTCCTCATTGGTTCATCTTCTACTTTGGAGTGAAAGTATTGAACCTGGTTGCAGGATTCCCAATGAACGCACTCGTGTTGTGGCAGATTCTGAGGAAGAAGAGCGAAGGCTCGACGTCAGACATCTTCATTTTTAACCTTTCCATCCTCGACGCCTATTTCGGCGTCATGAACGTGAACGAGGTCTACAGCGGCGTCATCCTCTCGGCCTTCTTCATCATGGTGTTCTGCAACCTCTCCATCATCTGGGTCCGGAAGAGCGCCGCAGGGAAAGAAGTCATGAACCCGGTGAAGAAGAAGGCCTTTAAAATGGTGATTATCGTCCTGGCCATCATCGTTGGGAGCTATCTGCCTCCTGTGGCTCTGATGCCGTTTGCTTCCACCTTCTCGTTCATGAAGCTGCATTGTAAGGTTCTTCTCGGCGTCTTCTCCATCATGGACCTGAGCTGCACCGTCGAGCCTTCGCTCTACATCTCTAAGATGGATCGATCCACGTTCTGTCAATGCCTGCAGAGTCCCTCCAAGAAACCCAACAGCGTGAGCGTCTGAAATGAAAAACTGTCTGATTTTATGTGTGTGATTGTAGACCTTTGGGTTGTCATTGTATCTTTCTGTGGTTCTCAACTGGCGTGTCTCAGGTCTGTCGTGATTGGTCACTGAAAGAGGGAAAAACACAATGTTAAGTGCAAAAAAGTAAACAAAAGTAAACATTTTAACAGTAACATAGACTCATCAACCAAATAAAGAAAAGAGAAAACACCTTCCATATGCATAGCTTCTGATAACGTCAAAGGTTGTGTGTCCATCAAACTCTACAGTATTTTGGCACAAATTCATCCTACAACAGTAAGATTTCTCTTTATAGGGGTAAAAGTCAAATTAGACATATGGATCAACTTGGACGGGGTGTGTGACGCTCTCATCCTCAAACCATGAACAAAACTACACACTCAAAAACTGCATAACTTTCACTCACTCTGAACTGTCTGCTGCAGAGAAACACTTCAATTTGGTTAAAGTCATGTAAATAATTTTTCATCTTACTGAGCCTTTGCAGGGTCTTCTTATTACAATATTAATACATTTCAATGTTTAATATGTAAATTGTAGCGCCGTGTTGCATGATGCTGGGTTTATGGTTGGAGTACTGCTCTTATCTGAAATGCTGATTTGATCAAAACCAGTAGAGAAGCACTGATTTAACGAAGCGCTCTCATCAGCATGTTGACTTCATGAAACTGTGCCGGTTGTTGTGTTTTCTGTGTCGTGTTTCCCCAGACGTCTCCTGTTCGCCTGTTTCTCCGCTGCTCGTTTAACTCCTCGTGACTCTCTTCTGATTGATCTTCAGACTCCGGGAACAAATCTGAACTTCACTTTCTTCTCCTCACTGTTGTGTTTGTGTCAGATAACCTGATTCTTTTACTTCTCACAGATTAGATACCAGCTTTCCAGATGCATAATTAAGAACATTAACGAGTCACTAATTAAGACGTTAATTAAAATGCCTGGGGATTAATTAAGAACGGACTGAGGTGGCACAGATGGTACGAGCTTGTAGATGATGCTACGAGATTAATTAACATGAAAAACATTTACAGTAGAAGCTTGTGTTGTCATTGATCTCGGACTGCTAGAGATGGTTTAATAACCCAAGCATAATAGACAAGAAATATGAACAGTTGCTGTATTTTCTGATGCATAAAGGAACTCCAAAAATGGTATACTTACTTGTCTGTGTTCACTTATTCTTCCATTCTGAATTATAGCAGCCACATGTGTAAAACCTCAGAAATGTCAAAATAACAGAAGAGGGACATTTATCTTCAGTGAAAACTGTAAAGCACACAGATTTGATATGCCATACACGGCTCTACAAATGAGCATATGAAAAAACCTGAAACATTCCTAAAACTCCACAGCTTTACATGAGATGAACACTAAGTATATAAATGAGCACACGAGTACAGCTTCAGAGACAAAGATCTATTCAATCTCAAACTCCACTGATGCTGTTTGTGTAGAAAATGAACATGAAAGGAAAAGTGTCAAATGCATAAATGTTGCATTACGTAGGTTCGTCATCAGTAAGGGAAACAACGAAAGCTTTACTAAACTCCCATGCATTAAAACGTCTGAATGAGTGAAATGAACGTCAAATGCACACTGTAGAGTTCTCACACATACTGATGAAACTCACTGTTGTCCTGTACAGGTTTACATGTGGACTGAAACACGGAACACTTGCATCATAGACCGAAAAAAACAAACTGACATTCAATCCGAAATATCAAACATGCATCAAATATATGTATGTGTGAGAAATGAGAATATACAAGTGAACAGACCAGTCACTGGATCAGCGTCTGTATAAAATCACAACAGGATTCGAACTAAATTTGGAGTAAGTTTTGGTTGCGCTCACCGGTAAATCAACTGAAATAAAACAGTGTTTTGGTACATGGTGAACATGGAAATATTTATCGCTCTATAGAGTAGTTGTGACAGTCGAGGGCTCTTCTATGGTAAGGCTTGTCTGTGGCAGAGAGCCAGAAATGTGTATTTGCAAGATGTTACGGTAGATTTGTTTCTTGCATCACCTGTTTACGTGAAGCTCATGTTACATCACGAAATTCGTTCGTCCCCTTTCATCGAACAGCAAAGACTTTATCGCAAACAGACCCTCCTCTCCATCCAATCCCAGACGAGATCTTCTTGTTGACCCAAAAGAACCGCAACAATTGGTTGCATCCAAAACGTCCCACCTCTGTCTCCCGCGGGAAGAGCTTTTCTCGGAGCGCCCCGAGAGAGACGCCAAACTGACGACGCGTCCAAGTTGGGTTCTGTTCAGAGAAACGTCGACAATCGTACGGAACTATAGCAGACACCTCCGTATTGAACAAGCGATATTTAACTCGATGAGGCAAACTCTTCAAATCATTGTTTGTGACGTGTCTGAAGTTCACTAGATATAACAGTCGCTTGTCAAAGACAGATCATCATAACAGACGTCCGCAGCTCATTTCATCATCATGGCAAACACCTCGGCTTTGAGCCTGAACTCCAGCGTCGCCGGGTGGCACCGTCTACCATGGTACCAGTTCGAGGCGTGTGCGGAGGTTCCTCACTTGTTTCTATTGTACTTTGGAGTGAAAGTATTGAACCTGGTTGCAGGCGTTCCTCTGAACGCCCTCGTGTTGTGGCAGATTCTGAGGAAGAAGAGTGAAGGCTCCACGTCAGACATCTTCATTTTTAACCTTTCCATCCTCGACGCCTATTTTGGCCTCATGACGCCAGTCGACCTTTCCAACCGGCTGTACTTCAACGATCCGTCCGTCTGGTACTCGGTGCGTTTCGCCTACGGACTCAAAGACGTGACTCCGTTATTTCTCACCTGTATTTGTCTGGACAGGTACATCGCTGTGGTCCATCCCATCCTCTTCACCGGGATCCGTGACACTCGCATCCGGATCGGCGTCTCGGTGCTGGTGTGGGGACTCATCCTAGCCTACTCTCTGACCAAAACCTTCTTAGGCGTCATGAGCGTGAACGAGGTCTTCAGCGGCGTCATCCTCTCGGCCTTCTTCATCATGGTGTTCTGCAACCTCTCCATCATCTGGGTCCTCAGGAAGAGCGTCGCAGGGAAAGAAGTCATGAACCCGGTGAAGAAGAAGGCTTTTAAAATGGTGCTTATCATCCTCGCCATCATCGTTGGGAACTATCTGCCTCCTGTGGCTCTGATGCCGTTTGCTTCCACCTACTCTTTCGTGACGTTCCGCTGTAAGATCAGCCTCTGCGTCTTCTCCATCATGGACCTGAGCTGCACCGTCGAGCCTTTGCTCTACATCTCTAAGATGGAGCGCTCCGCATTCTGTCAATGCCTGCAGAGTCCCTCCAAGAAACCCATCAGCGTGAGCGTCTGAGGTGTGTGTGATTTGAGACTCTTGGACTGTCTGCGTCTCGGTCTAATCCAGGGATCTCCAGCCCTGCTCCTGGAGAGCTACTGTCCTGCAGACTCCAGTTCTACAACACCTGCCTGTAATTATCTAGTAACCCTGAACACCTTGATTAGCTGAAATCTGCAGGACGGTCGCTCTCCAGGAGCAGGGTTGGTGACCCAAACATGGGCCTCAGGTCTGTTGTGATGGGGCACTGACAGCATGAAAAGCGCGGTCAAATAATACAATAAAACTAACCATATTTAATCATTATGACAGCAATTTCCATGTTCTTGTTGATGTCAAAGATTGTATCTCCATCAAACTCCACATTATTTTGGCACAGGTTTATCTTCATTTTTAAACACCATGAATGAAACTTCAAAAAATTCAAATAAAAAATACAGGCCAGACAACATTAAATACACACATAAACAGGATGAAGATGGTTTGAGCTGAACACACTTTGTTTTTGCAATGAATTACTCACTGTGGAGAACATGAAACCACTTGGCAACCATTTTCCTATGAAGTCCATGTTCATAATTCTGTATCTCTCTGGGCCTGTTCAGGGTCTACGCACTGTAATATTGATACATTTCAATGTTCGCTTTTGTTACAATTGTAAATCCCTGCATTGCGCTGATGTAAAATCTTAGACTCTGATTTGATCAAAACCAGTAGAGAAGCACTGATTTAACGAAGCGCTCTCATCAGCATGTTGACTTCATGAAACTGTGCCGGTTGTTGTGTTTTCTGTGTCGTGTTTCCCCAGACGTCTCCTGTTCGCCTGTTTCTCCGCTGCTCGTTTAACTCCTCGTGACTCTCTTCTGATTGATCTTCAGACTCCGGGAACAAATCTGAACTTCACTTTCTTCTCCTCACTGTTGTGTTTGTGTCAGATAACCTGATTCTTTTACTTCTCACAGATTAGATACCAGCTTTCCAGATGCATAATTAAGAACATTAATGAGTCACTAATTAAGACGTTAATTAAAATGCCTGGGGATTAATTAAGAACGGACTGAGGTGGCGCAGATGGTACAAGCTTGTCGATGATGCTACGAGATTAATTAACACGAAAAACATTTACAGTAGAAGCTCACGTAAGCTTGTGTTGTCATTGATCTCGGACTGCTAGAGATGGTCACATTAGGACAAGAAATATGAATATTAGCTAATGTGTGATACATAAAGGAACTCCATATTTAACATACTTACATGTCTGTGTTCACCTGTTCTTCCCTTCTGATCTATCGCAGCTGCATGTGTGTAAATACTGCGAAATATCAAAATAAGACATTTATCTTCATTTGAACAGTGTAAACCGTGTAAAGCACACCTAACTCTATAAACAAGTATATAACAAATAAGCTCTAAAAACGAGTATATGACAAAAACATTAATATGTTTTATATTTTTAAAATGAAAACGAAAAGAGCGTTGTGTTTTATATTTTGTTTTGTTAAGTATACATTCAGTGAAGGCAATCAAAATATGTACGTGTGCCTAAAATACATTTTTGTGGCTATTAATATGTTTAAATGAAAAGAGGCAGTGGTGTTTGCCATCATATTTCATTTTATTGTAAATACACCTCCAGTGCTGTTCCATTTGTAGAATTACTGGAAGTCCAAACTTTGTGTGCTTGGTATTGAGGAACGGCTAAGATCTCCTTAAAAATCAATCATTTTTCACAAATGTGTATACAGATATTTCTAGTGGTCAACCGATATTTGACAGCCGATGCCGATATCTTAGAGAACAGGGTGGCCGATATAAAGCCGATATGTATCATTTTTATTTATGCACTGCAAAAAATGATTCCCTTCTTTAGTATTTTTGTCTTGTTTTCTAGTATATATATTTACAAATTCTGGAATTAAGATGCGTTTACTTAACAAGTAAAATGACTTATTTTGTGTTGTTTTCTGAAAATATTATTCAAATTTTGTTAGTTTTTGCTTAAAACAATCATAAATATCTGCCAATGGGGTAAGAAAAATAATCTTAATTCAAAGGCTAAACAAGATTATTTGTTTTACCCCATTGGCAGATGTTTTTACTTGTTTGAACAAAAACTAACAAAATGTGAATAATATTTTCAGAAAACAACACAAAATAAGTAATTTTACTTGTTAAGTAAACATATCTTAATTCCAGAATTTGTAGATATTTCTACTAGAAAACAAGACAAACATACTAAAGAAGGAAATAATTTTTTGCAGTGTGTGAGATCAGGTGCTGACAAAATAAAAGTCCCGTCTCGAACACTTCGGCTGATGCCGATATTTGAAAAATGTCAAATATCGGCTGATATAACGGCCTTGGCAATATATCGGTCAAACACTAGTTATTTCTGCCATTCCTATAAACATTGCTGATTAAATCGACAGAAAGCTGTTAGCGCTAGGGTTGAAAAGGGGTGGAATATTTCCGGTAAATTTCCGGAAACTTTCCAAAAATTCCCGGAAGATTAAAAAAAAAAAAAATCCTGGAAACTTTCCAAAATTACTGTATTGTTTCCGAAATTTACTTTTTGCAACCCTAGTTAGCGCGGGGTAACTCTGGCACAGATCTCGTGGAGACTCTCCCTGCTGGCTGGCGGACCGCTGACGGACGTCACGTAACCCGGATAGCGGTCAAAGAACTCCGGAGCCGGACAGCTGAGGCTCGTCTCCGCTTCATCAGGCGAAGAGACGAGCGGAATCAGCTTAGCATGAGCGTAATCAATCTCAAAACCCTCAAAAATAAGCCCCACCCCCCAGGCGCCAAGCCCCGCCTCCAGAAGCCCGGACACCTTCCGAGTGGCCAGCGCCAGCCGCCGATAGTCGCCCTCCTCCAGCCGGAAGATGTCACTGGAGAGGGGCTTCCGCGGGACCAGAACGGTCAGTCCGGGCGTGTTGGGGAACGGCGTGAGGAAGGCCACATGCTCTTCATCTTCCCAAACTCTCCACTGCTTCTCTTCTCCACGCACGATGCGTGGGAACAGCCCGGGGTCAGACGGATCGCCCAGAAAGGTGTTGTTGGGCGCCGCGTTCGGCTTTGGCAGCTGAGCCCGGATTTGGCTCCTGATGGCGTCTAGATCCTCATCCGTCCAGCGCGGCCCGCTCTTGGAGCTGACGTATCCGGGATCGTACGCCTGGAAATCCTCCTCCGCAGCGAGGTGAGGTTTCCAATCCGACTGCAGGCCGTGGAGCGGCACCACGTGGAGCTCGGCTCCGGCCTGTTTGTTCGGAGTATAGACCAAAGCGCAGCGCTGCACCGCCAGACTCTCACACAGCTGGTGCGCGACGGATCTTGCGCCCAGGAGCAGATGCAGAAATGCATCCTCAGGTAAGTGGAAGAGGCTGGCGGTGCCGCCGAAGCTCTTCTGGGTGACGACAGCGACCCCTGGAGTCCACGGGGAGGAGTGCAGATGCGCCGACAGCTCTGACGTCTCCCAGATCACAGTCCGGTCCTGAAGCCCAGACACCAACGACGACGACATTCTGGGAGTGAAAGGAAGGAGGAGGCGGATATTAAACCTCTTAACTGTCACCCGTCGCCTCAGAGGGACACCTAAATGTGCTTCTCTGTATTACAAATAAATCCTAATCTAATCATGACAAACTATATGTGACCCTGGAGCACAAACCCAGTCATAAGGGTCAATTTTTGGAAACTGAGATTTATGCATCATCTGGAAGCTGAATAAATAATCTTTCCATTGATGTATGGTTTGTTAGGATAGGACAATATTTGGCTGAGATACAACTATTTGAAAATCTGGAATCTGAGGGTGCAAAAAAATCTAAATATTGAGAAAATCATCTTTAAAGTTGTCTGCATTTATTTGATCAAAAATACAGTAAAAAATTTGAAATATTATTACAATTTAAAACAGCTGTTTTCTATGTGAATATCTGTTAAACTGTAATTTATTCCTGTGATGCGCAGCTGTATTTTCAGCATCATTACTCCAGTCTTCAGTGTCACATGATCTTCAGAAATCAGTATAATATGCTGATTTATGATCAATAAATTTCATTTTAATTATATAGTTTATACTGAATAAACTGTGATACTTAAAAGTTTAAAAAAAATTAGGAGTAAGATATAAAAGAAAACAAATGAATACTTTTACGCATTAAATTGATCAAGTGACAGTAAAGACATTTATAATGTTACAAAAGATTCTGTTTCAAATAAATGCTGTTCTTCTGAACTTTCTGTTCATCTGTGAATCCTGAAAAATACAATGTATCACAGTTTCCTCAAACATTGCATCATAATAGCATGCTGTTCAACACAACTTCTAAACACGCATAGAGTAGAAATGCTCTCCAGTACGTTATTTCTGTAACGTTACCTTCCTAAAACACCTCCGAGTATGAGAGAGCACACAGCGCAGTTCAGAACCCGCCGCGGACTGATTCTCTCTCTCTCTCACACACACACTCTCTCTCACACACACACACACTTAATCTCTTAACAAAGCTAATGTCATATTAACCCAATGAACTGAGCAGTCGGATCAGATTCTGTCCTTCTCTGAATATGAAAAGCATCAGACTCTTGGTTAGAAACCCTGAGGTTCATCATGAAGACCTCACTGTGGGCGAGCTGGAGCGATTGCTTTGACAAATGTGTGTTGTGTCCTTCACTGCATGTGTTACAGGAGCAGACTGGGTTCAGTTCAGAGCCGTGAGAAACCCTGCGGTCCAGACGAAACACACTCTGTTCCTCAACAGCAGCACAGCTCTCCACAAACTCACATGCAGATATTTAGGTGAAAAGGTTTAGAGATATGTTTAAATAAATACCTTTTAAACTAGATATTCACTTCAATGGTCCTACGATGTGACAAATGTGTTACATTTCAAATATTTACAAATGTCACAAAAAATTGCAAATGTTCCATATAGTCTAAAGATCTTAGTCTATTAAATCTGCATGCAAATATCATATAAGAGAAGAGAGAAGTTTTAATTTAGATTGAGCAATTAAGCTTTTCAACATCCACATTTAAAAGTGTCTGCTAAATGACTAAATGTAAAGCTTTATGTTTTATACTGATCATTTCTCTTCTCCTGAGCTTGGAAGTTGTTTTTATGCTTCACTTCATTTGAACACCTGATTAGAAACATTTTCAGCGATCCCAAAGAGTTTGAGTTTAGAAAAACATATCTGAGTCATATTTTAAGGTAATATGTCAATTCAAAAATTGTTTTCTTTTAGAAAATAGACCCATTGGCTACTTCATGATAATTATGGCCATTCTGCTCATTTGAGTTGATGCAAGTTTATCTAAACTGCAGTTCAAGATGGATTTCCTCTTTTTCCCCTTTAAAACCTTTTGGAATTTTGAAAAAAAAAAAGGGATTTCCAAAATTCCTTTCTGTTTGTAAAGCACTTTGAACTGCATCAACTTGTTTGGAAAAGTGCTATATAAATAAACGTGCTTGCTTGGATGTAGTCAGGAAAACTCCCACATTTGCTTTGAAATTAAAAACGTGAGCAGATTGTTTTTGTTTACAGGTGAAGTCTGTTCAATCAAATTCTGAGAATCTGAGGGAAATGAGCGTCTCCTGAACGATTGCAGTGAACATACAGATCAACCACCGTTCAGATATTCTCTCATCCATAATTGATCTTTACAGAAAACATATTTGAAGTCAATTCCTCTGAAAATCATATTCTTCAGTAAAGGGGATTGAGAAACAGCCCACATATAATCATGAAGTTTGACCAACTCTGTAAAAACAAACAGCAGGTCAGAACCAGGACACCGTGACCGTTTGAACATAAAGGACAAAATCAACCATAACATGAGCCGAGTCTGATTTTAGCATTATTATAAAAACCTACATGTCACAGATCAATCCGAGAACCTTGGGACAACAACGGTTCATAATTATATATGGAGTACTAGTTAAAACTACTGCTGCATTCTTTAAATTTGACCAGATGCATTTTAATATCAGCTCATGCATGTTTTTCACATGCATTCTAATGCGCAGTACACCTATAGCCACATTACAGGTCTTTTTCATGAACCACACACACATTAGATACATGAATGCACTCTAATTTACCTACGTTGTGTCTAGGGTTGCAAACAGGTGGAAAATTTCCAGTAAATTTTGGACACTCAAAAACTTACCGGAAATGTTCCACCCCTTTGCAACCCTAGTTATGTCCAATAGACACTAAAGATGTTTGAGAAAATCTCAAGCGTTTCTAGTAAAAAAACAAACATATCCAGCCCGCAGGTACTACCATTACTCTTTTAGTTATTACTGCCAATCTTTATACTCGTTTGGTATTTGTGTTTTACTTTAGATATCTTTAGTCCTGAGGTGTGTTGGGTTGGGGAAGAGGCAGGTTTTGGGGGCGTAGTCGTCGTCAAATGTGTTTTTTTCCTTTATTACAATATGTTTTGTGTACTTTACCAAAAAAACAAACAAAAAAGAAACCAGCCCACAGAAGACATGATTTTGATGGCGTCTTTAATAGAAAACAGCAAAGCGATTTTACAGCCAACACACTACACCGTGACAGATCTAGCATGTTTAGCCAGTTTAAACCGCACAAGTGAAGCCTATTTACAAGCACTAGATTCAGTGTAACAACTCTGACTGACGATGAGCCCCTTTCTGGACGATAAACGACTCGAGTGAATGTGAGAGAATGCATGAGTTTAGATCAGAAACACCAGGGTAAGCATCTAACCCTAACCAGAGCTGACAGCATCCGGGGCTTTGGCTTTGCTCCTGCGGTGTTTGGAAGCCCGAACCTCCTCCATGAGATCCTTCAGATACCGGATCTCTCGGCTGATGGACTCGGCTTTCTCCTGGAGCTGGCGGTTTCTCGTCTCCAGCTCAGCGCACTCGGAGCTCAGCGTCTCCTGCTCGGTGCGTTTCTTCTGCCGGTAGCGCGTCGCGGCCGTTTTGTTCTGCTCCATCTTCTTCAGCTTCTTCTCCACCACTTTAGGAGCACCGGGCACGGCTTTCACAGCATCCGGCTCGGGTCTGGAGTAGGGTTTGGTTCTGGAGGAGCCTGCGGGCTTCGGCGAGGGTTCGGGATCCGAGATCCCGCTGTCGCTGTCGGACGGATCGGCACCGCTCGCCTCTTCTTTGGGAGTCAGCAGCAGTACGATGTGGGATGGAGTCAGCATGATTTCGGCGGACTCCAGTGTGAAGCTGGGATCCGGAGGCTCAGACTTGACCTCTTCTGGCTCCTGAAGGTCGAGGGTCAGCGGAGGCAGAAAGGGTGCCAACACTTTTTCACACCACTGTATATATTTTGTTCTTGTATTTTTAATGGGTTTATTTCTATTTTGTATTGGTGTATGCTACTGTTTTTGTATTTGATTCCTTTTTGTTTGTAAAGCACTTTGAACTGCATCAACTTGTTTGGAAAAGTGCTATATAAATAAACGTGCTTGCTTGGATGTAGTCAGGAAAACTCCCACATTTGCTTTGAAATTAAAAACGTGAGCAGATTGTTTTTGTTTACAGGTGAAGTCTGTTCAATCAAATTCTGAGAATCTGAGGGAAATGAGCGTCTCCTGAACGATTGCAGTGAACATACAGATCAACCACCGTTCAGATATTCTCTCATCCATAATTGATCTTTACAGAAAACATATTTGAAGTCAATTCCTCTGAAAATCATATTCTTCAGTAAAGGGGATTGAGAAACAGCCCACATATAATCATGAAGTTTGACCAACTCTGTAAAAACAAACAGCAGGTCAGAACCAGGACACCGTGACCGTTTGAACATAAAGGACAAAATCAACCATAACATGAGCCGAGTCTGATTTTAGCATTATTATAAAAACCTACATGTCACAGATCAATCCGAGAACCTTGGGACAACAACGGTTCATAATTATATATGGAGTACTAGTTAAAACTACTGCTGCATTCTTTAAATTTGACCAGATGCATTTTAATATCAGCTCATGCATGTTTTTCACATGCATTCTAATGCGCAGTACACCTATAGCCACATTACAGGTCTTTTTCATGAACCACACACACATTAGATACATGAATGCACTCTAATTTACCTACGTTGTGTCTAGGGTTGCAAACAGGTGGAAAATTTCCAGTAAATTTTGGACACTCAAAAACTTACCGGAAATGTTCCACCCCTTTGCAACCCTAGTTATGTCCAATAGACACTAAAGATGTTTGAGAAAATCTCAAGCGTTTCTAGTAAAAAAACAAACATATCCAGCCCGCAGGTACTACCATTACTCTTTTAGTTATTACTGCCAATCTTTATACTCGTTTGGTATTTGTGTTTTACTTTAGATATCTTTAGTCCTGAGGTGTGTTGGGTTGGGGAAGAGGCAGGTTTTGGGGGCGTAGTCGTCGTCAAATGTGTTTTTTTCCTTTATTACAATATGTTTTGTGTACTTTACCAAAAAAACAAACAAAAAAGAAACCAGCCCACAGAAGACATGATTTTGATGGCGTCTTTAATAGAAAACAGCAAAGCGATTTTACAGCCAACACACTACACCGTGACAGATCTAGCATGTTTAGCCAGTTTAAACCGCACAAGTGAAGCCTATTTACAAGCACTAGATTCAGTGTAACAACTCTGACTGACGATGAGCCCCTTTCTGGACGATAAACGACTCGAGTGAATGTGAGAGAATGCATGAGTTTAGATCAGAAACACCAGGGTAAGCATCTAACCCTAACCAGAGCTGACAGCATCCGGGGCTTTGGCTTTGCTCCTGCGGTGTTTGGAAGCCCGAACCTCCTCCATGAGATCCTTCAGATACCGGATCTCTCGGCTGATGGACTCGGCTTTCTCCTGGAGCTGGCGGTTTCTCGTCTCCAGCTCAGCGCACTCGGAGCTCAGCGTCTCCTGCTCGGTGCGTTTCTTCTGCCGGTAGCGCGTCGCGGCCGTTTTGTTCTGCTCCATCTTCTTCAGCTTCTTCTCCACCACTTTAGGAGCACCGGGCACGGCTTTCACAGCATCCGGCTCGGGTCTGGAGTAGGGTTTGGTTCTGGAGGAGCCTGCGGGCTTCGGCGAGGGTTCGGGATCCGAGATCCCGCTGTCGCTGTCGGACGGATCGGCACCGCTCGCCTCTTCTTTGGGAGTCAGCAGCAGTACGATGTGGGATGGAGTCAGCATGATTTCGGCGGACTCCAGTGTGAAGCTGGGATCCGGAGGCTCAGACTTGACCTCTTCTGGCTCCTGAAGGTCGAGGGTCAGCGGAGGCAGAGCCAGGCCCAGCTCTGTTGAGCCGAACGGGAGCGAATCCAGGTCCAGATCCATCTCGGTGTCCAGACAGGCCAGCAGCTCTTCTGGAGAACTGGGAGGCTCGTCTGAATCACATGTTCCGATGAGAGAATCCAGGTCAAAGTCATTCAGGTCTAACTTCTCCGTCATCCAATCCATGCCAGAAAA